ATTCCATAATTTGGTTGGTTGTGGCTACGAGAAATATCCAGGACGCACGTTTCGTCCTATTTTGGATTCGTCAGCTGGACGTACCTGCGCCCCAGTAAGTGTTGTCCGCACCGGGATTCGGACCGCATGACCATAGCTTCAAATGTCAAGGCATCACCCTCTATACCATGGAGGCACGATGGCTACTTCTTGTACAACGGGTATTAGTTAGTACTACGTCATTCCGTACTGGGGTGCAGGTACATCCAGCTAACGAGTCCCGGATAGGACGAAATGCGCGTCCTAGGTCTTCCTGCCAGCCACAGCCAATCAAATTATCGTGATTAACATTCAAACAATATCAAGGCATCCGTACAGGAGCCCACATGCCAATAGAGGTGGAACAATTCTATCAAATAAGACAACGGAGAATTATAAGTATATCTACAAACAGTAGTTGAATTCCATACTTCAACAGAATAGATATGCTGAAACATACTTTCAGTCACAATTAATCAACCTATGTAGAAAAGGAAGAAAGAAAAATAAAAATGGAAAATGGCCTTCCATTTTTGACAAGCAAAAGAAAAATATTATTCTCTTAGAAAAAGAATCAAAACAAATCTGATGATGTAGTGTGGACGAAGGTTTGTTGTAGAAAGCTTAGTTATTATTGATTTTACGATACAGGTGAAGAGGATGACCACAGTATCACATTTCTTCCAGATGTTTTTGTTCTCATCACGTCGTAGTTATGATACTATTATCCAGCATACACTGTAATGTTATAAATAAAATCTGCATACAAACGATTTAATGGCAAATTATTTACTTTCTTACCATAACCAGTGTTAAAAATCACAGCTATTGTCTCGATCTACTTTTTGTGTGTATGTCAAGGTGTATGTGTTATGCATCTAAAAGCATCTATCCATCCATCCCTGACTATCTGGTAAATGGAATAATCAACTCATATTCGTTTGTTTGCATTATGCGAGCATCGATATAGAAAACATAGGATAGTGGTTTTTAGTTAAGTGGGAATATTTTAAGAGAATTTCTCACCTTTTACTAATTAGCCAGTTATTTAAGTAGTGTTATCACTCACCAGTGAAACTTTTTTCTCCTTTGTCTATGTAACACACTTTCGTGTTTTTAAGGCTGCCTTTGTTATTTCCATCAATGAATAGGCTGATATGTGTATAATAATGATAGACTGAGTAGTTTAAAAATAAATTTAATTGTAAGCTGATGTCAACCAGCTGAGGAATCACTTTTAAACTAAAAGTGTAATGAACAGCTGTTTTTTAGTCTAGGATTTCTCAGAAGTATCCACTGCCAACAGATGATCCTTTACGAAACCATTATGTCTCACCTGAAGCTTGGCACTATTCAGATATTGGCAAAGGATCTATTGATTCAAAATACTCCACGTAGAACAATCATCAACCAATAAAATCTGTGGACATATTTTTTCAGTCTTAATTTGGTTGACGTAATCCATAGAAACATTCTACAATGGAATTAGTTGATCAAATGGTTTAATAATAATTGGTTCAATTTACTTTCATTTTCTAATGTTTCTTTGGCTAACATGAGTCAGTCAGTATGTTATATGGCACAGCCCTGTGACTCATATGGCTGAATGTTTGAAATAACCGTAGGCTAGCTGAGACTTGAGAGAAGGCGGTTGTTTTATGAATAACCGCTAAATATGGAGTTCAGTGGGTTCACCGCTGTAATCACTTTTTAAACTCAAACTAAAAACAAACATAAATTTGTTAGTTCATGACTTTCACCCTTCGTTTAGAGACAGATAGACTATTGTAAAAGGGGTGGCGAAAGTTCTTCTACATTTGACTTAACTGTGTACCTGGATGCAAGTTTCGTGAGGAAGCTAGGATGTGAAGTCGAAAATGTTAACTTACTTGAGTGTTAGGTAACTTGATATTTTAACATGTATTACATATTCGTCTTTACTTGTTTTGATGATCTATGTAGTGCTGAACAGATTAGTGAGTAAATCGTAAGAGCAGCTTTTATTACTTTTCCATTATTGCTTGTCCCTTGGGTTCCTAGTGGAACATAGGGCTTCACTAGCACGTCTCTACTCCACTCTGTTCTCTGCTGCCTGTCTAACCTGGCTCCACCACTCCCCACAACCTCTCATCTCTTCCTCCCTCACACCATCTCCTCCATATCACCCTAACCTAGGACGCCAAACTCGTCGTTTCCCAATTGTCTTCCACTTGATGGACTCACCTCGCCTCGCCTCACCCCGCCTCACCTGGCCTGACGCGTGATGTCCCTAATCGGTCTTCTCAGTGTATCCCCAATCCAATCCAATCCATCTCCACTTTCTTCTTCTGCATATTTGTTGGGTGACAGATTCTTGGTTGGTTGGTTCGTTGCCAGTCAGCCAGTCAGTTAGTCAGTCAGCCAGTCAGCCAGAGTTCCTTGTTGCTTATTCTTGTCACTCTGCCCTTCTCATCTGATCTTCAGTGTCAGTATGTAGTGAGTGTAGGAGGCAGCTGTTGATTATCTATGTCTGCAGTTTGTTGGGAATGCTTTCCGTAAGGCGCCAAGTCTCTCAACCATCACATAGAAGGAAGCACTGACTTGACGTTGGTGTCAAAAATCCGAATCTCCTTCTTTATGCTGAATGCAGTGCAGTGTATCTATCTCCATCACCTCTGTCTTCTCTACGTTCACTTGAAGTCCCGTCTTCGCTCCCTTACGTCTTCTGCCAACTTGTTAGTTTCCGCCTGTAGATCTTCCAGTTTGTGCGACAACACAATACACATAAATCACCATCACCGGCGAAATTCAAATCTTCTGGAGTTTTTCATCATTCGAACAGCTTATGCCTATCCTCCCACTCCTCACAGTTCGTTGCATGATCCAGTTCACTGCAGTCCAGTTAATCACAATCAGGAAGATCAATGTTGATAGTAGTTGGCAGCCTTGTCTTACTGCTGTCTCCTGTCTTCACTTCAAAGGCATCACTGAGCTTTCCATTTTGAATCACTGGGGATGTAGCATCATATAGTATATAGCTGCTGTTGAATAAGGTTGATAAAAGTTTGTAACTCTAAAACCGTAGTGTTGAAGTAGCTGTCAAATTACTTCTGCGTTGACTCTGTCGAAGGCCTTTTTAAAGTCAATGAAGTTAAAGTAAAGAGTTGACCGCCAAAGAGCAGTTTTTGTGGCATGCTTAATCTGTAACATGATGTAGATTGGCTAGTTAGGTGTTCTGATTTGAAAATGTGTTACAATTCACTCACTCACTTACTCAGCATCCTATTCGTCACATAAGATGCTCTGTTCTGCCTCAGAAAGTATGGACGCTGTATACCACTGGAAACGGTTTGACTTAAGCACAGTTATCCAGGGTATTATTATTTCAGTTGTTTAATAAGTCAGCCTTTACTATTGGTAAGAGTAATGGTTTTGGTAATTTAGCTTCCAAGTATTCCATTTTGAATGTAGCCTATTCACTTGTTATAATTTTAAGTCCGTATTCGAAGTTTTTTCTAGCCCCATATTTTAGCTCATTGGATGCTGGGCACCTTTCTAATTTAGCTATCGTTCTTTTATAGTCGGATCAGGTTTTGAAGATAGGATCTTATCAGGTAGTTTATTTGACAAAACCAATGTAAATAAATTATTTACCACAAGTTACGGTATCTCTAAATATCTGGTCTCAAGCTAAGACGTGTTTCAAACTGACTATCATTTACCTTTCTTCAGATTGTTACTTATCTCTTGTCAACACATTCACTCCGAGGTGATTATAAGTCTGTAGAAATGACTCCTGGTTGTTCATTCATGCGGGTTCTTCTAAGTCAGAAGTCATCCAGAACTGTGAATTCCTTGGGTTAGGTTCACTAGAAAGAGACGAAAACTCGGCTACATACTTAGTTCATCCAGTTTGATAAAACGGAGGTGGACAAGGATTGTGAGGCAGATTGTGGGGCTTTATTTAGCTTGGACCATTTGGATGTAAGAGTGTCCAGTATATCAGACAACATATACAAGGAATGATTTAAAATATCATACTAGTCTGCCGACAAACTTTAAAGTTCGACAGTTTTTCTTTAAACATCTTCGTTAGTGTTCCTTTGGAATAAGATCATAAGTTAGATGACACAAATTAACTGAACTTAGGCTACTTTATTTGTTCTTTATGTCACTCTGCTGCTTGTTTTCAGTGAACAGACACTTTGAGTATATTGAACATTAATTTTCTGTAAGCTTAATTAATGATTTTACCAGGTGAAAATGGTAAGGTTAGAAGAAAGTTGCAACTTAACCAGTAAGTCCATTGTTAGATTGTATTCTGAGTACATTTTGAGTTTAGATGGGTTTTCACCGTTCAGTGATCATATTGTTTCTGACAATTACTAGTAATGAACTCTTACGTGATGATGCTGAGGAGGCTGTCAGCTACCAATGTGGACCCCTAATATGGTGTACCTAAGGTGTTTATCTAAAGAGATATGAAGAAAGTAAATAGGTGATCCAGTTAGTTTTTGTATCACGTCACTGTCACTTCACGAATAGGTAAGTAAACTCATCTACTGTATTTTGCTGTTAGATAATGGGAGGCAATTGGGAAGAATTCTTTAACTAAGTTTCATGCTTCTCAGGATATTAGCAAACATGAGGAAAACCATGTTCTTTAGATGTTTCGAACCTGTGCCCTTCAGTGTTGAGATTAGCAACTTCACCCCTAAGTCATTCAGATGGTGGATGACTATCTGTAGGACTGGATTTTCTACACGAATTAGTCAACCGTAAGCAAGTAGCTTATGTAGCTATCTAGTCCCCAGCGCTTGGTACTAATAGAAGACAATCGATCTGTCTACTTCCATACATCTAGCATAGTACAAGCTAAACTACCAGAGGATTCAGTGTTCTGGTGATCGCAACAGCCTAAAAATCTCATCAAGTTTCAAGCTAACTGAAAAATTTTACAGAATTATATGGAAGTATGTTACTTTTAAATTGATTTGTTTTAGTAACTTCTGACAACGACTGAAATGCAACTAGAGGTCAAATTTTTAACATTGTCAAATCTACCTTCCTCTATCCGAACAATATGAATTACTTCAGTTCAAAAATGAATCAATCAGGTCATGATTTCAGTGGTAGTGATCAAAATCTCCGTGATAAGTGTTCGCTGTTAATTAATACTGATAGAACTTTACGAAATAATCACTGTTCTCCAAACATTATTGTTACTAGCGAAGACAGTAAAAAGAAATATGATTCCCTTTCAAGTGAACCAGCTGTAAATCCATGGCTTCCCCTACCACATCCATGTGTATTCGCCACCAACTGGTCTTCTTTGCAACTAGATTTACTGAAACGTTACCCATTATTTTGTCCGAATTCGAATTCTACACCAACATTGAATCAATCTAATGGGATGTTGGATTCCGAAATTTGTGAATCAAGTTCCACAGCAAAGGAAGTCAGCTCAGATTACGATTATTACATAGAGGGAAATGTGGCCAGTGAAACAGATTCCAATAATGTGTTGCACAAGTGTCTTTCTGTAAGTTAAGCTGTCATGTTTACTTTGTTTGGAGGTAAAAATTCAGTTTTCTGTTTTCTGTTCAAGAAGGATAGCCAATCAATGAACCCTGAAAATATGTTTTACCTTTATGACTTCTGACTGGTCTACTCCTCCATAACCTCCTGAGTTCGAACCCGCGTGCTGACCGCGGAGCCTGAAGGTCTTGGGTTCAATCTCTGGTTGGGCGGGGTCGTAGGTACACACTGCCGAGGAGTCCCATACTAGGGTGAAACAGCTGCCCAGTAGTCTTGGGTTTCCAATGTTCCTCCGAATGATGTCAGTCCATGATGAATACCAGCCTGAAAAAAATTTGCATTTAAATGGCTACTTCATGGGAATTAAGGTTTAATACGAAAAATCTGAACGCAAAGATTTTATTGTGATTGAGTAAGTAGACTATGGGTCTGGAACAAATTGCTTCCCGGGGCAGACAAGGACTACTTGGCTGATATTTAACCAAATGGTGAAAATTACGGCTACGTTTGTTATTAAAGTAGATAGAAACAGAGGTACTGAAGAAGCCGTCACTTCAGTCTGTCGTATTACTGTAAAACTAAACAGCAGGAAGTCAGCCTGCTTACCGGCTATTAGGAGTCTCTAGTACTCTTTGTGATACTAATGAAACAGTTTACCTTACCCAGTATGGTAAATTGAATTGTTCTACTTTATACGGACTAACCCATAAACCCCCAAATCTTAAGGTTCTAATCAAGTATGAAACAGCTTTCTTCTGCATCAGAATGAAACTGATGACTGTTGCCTTATATGATCTGTTGAATGCTGGACACCCCAACTCTTATGTCGACATCTAAGGAGAGATGGAATATATGTATGTGAACAGGAGACAAGCAAAGTTTTTGGTACGAATAAATTGGTGTGTGAATTACTAACCTCTACCGACTGATATCATTTAGAGGACCATTGAAGACGCGACAGCATCGGAGAGCGGTTTCGTCCCAACGTGGGTCCCCTCAGCAGTACGCAATCACAAATCCGACAGGGACCGCTGCGAGACTTGAAATCCTGAGCTAGATCCCTGGTGAGGTTATGGGTGCGTGCTGCTGAAGAGTCCCATACAAGGGCGAAGCTTCCGTCCGATGCTCCAAGGTTTTCGTTAGTCCTCCAAATGGTGTCGGTCAGTGACGAATGCCACCCAGAAATAAACATAGCTCCCTCATGAACCCCAAAGTACTGTAAGTTTTAGCTATGAGGAAGCTGGGTAGCTTGGTAACATGTCTTTGTATTATTTTTGAGTCAGTTTTCAAAGAACGAACAAATCACTGTCCTGCTCTTCTTATTTAGTGTATGAATTTTCATAATATCACCGGTTTTACAACTTGAGTTATAAAGTCAAACAGGTTGATTTCTAGAACTTCGAATGCTTGGGTTCAGTTGACTGGAAGCCCTAGCATACTTAGACAATGAAGAAACTCGTATGTACTCAGAATTTCAAATGTGCATCAGTGAGTGTTCAAGTGTCCAGGGTTTATATAAGGCTGGGAAAAAGTGGATGATATTATTACTATTATCTTCATTGCAATGAGCTGCAAAAATCCATGATAAGTATTCTTGCTAACTTATTTTTACAGAATGAACACATCAACGAAGAGGCAGATCAGTCAGTAACAGAAAACGTGTTCAAAGGTCGCAAAACATCGTAAGTAGTAGCCAGTACTTCTCATTTTTGTCAAGAACACTGTCTTAATTCACTGGTATTTTTCCAGTATTTTATTGCATATTAACAGTGCTGTTTATGACTTATTAGTAATACGTACCGAAAAAATCGGACAATTGGTCACTATGTATCATACATCGAGAGAAGTTAGAAAACGTCACATATTTAGTTTAATTTCATTGCAAAAGCTACCTGTTCAAGTTGAAATTAGGAACTAAACGGTTGTAAAATCGCTGGTAGAAGTGAAAATCCTGTATTCTATCTTTTAAATGGCCAAGGGTTAGCTCCACTGAGGACCTAAGTGATTACTGAATTTAGGTCAATGACTTTGGAGTTATCAACTTGGCATTTTTTTTTCCATCTATGCTACGGGAGATCTTCTGCACTCAGCATTTAGAACAAGATCCAGATTTTCAACACCAACGTCAAGTCAGTGCTCCTGTATGGTTCAGAGACTTGGGGCGTTACGAAAGACACTTCCAACAAACTACAGACATTCATTAACAGCTGCCTATGCTGGCTCGTTACTGAAGCTCAGATCTTAAGGCCAGAAAGAATAAGCAACAAGGAACTGACTCCGACAACGAACCAACTAAGAACCTATCACTCAACAAATATGTAGAAGGAAGTGGGGGTGGACTGGGCATACACCGACAGGGCCGACTGGGGACATCACGCGTCAGGCCGTCGAGTGGAACTCAGATGGGAAACGACGAGTTGGTCATCTGAGGTGAGGGTGACATGGAGGAGATTGTGTGAGGGAGGAAGAGATGAGAGGTTGTGGGGAGTGGTGGAGCCAGGTTCAAAATTTTGCAGAGAAGAGAATGAAGTGGAGACATGCTAGTGAAGCCCTATTTTCCATTAGAAACCCAAGGAACAAATATTAATAATAATAATGGGCTACGGGATTCAACTTTTGAGTAGATTTCAGGTTTACACAAAACATCAGGTGCTTTATGAATAACTGATATGTAACTGTCAGTTTATCAACACATTGACTACATGGTTATGTTCTCATGTCCTACTTTAAATCAACCTAAATCAGGACTAAGTTAAAAAACCGAATTTTATTTTTAATCAGTGCCATTGTATTCAAATATCAGTCAAAGGATCTAAGTAACCATGAGCCTCGAATCCTCTTTGGAGTTTACTTTAGTTTGACTTAAGTTGGAATGAACAAAACTGATTTAGCATCCGGTATTACATAGAAAACAGAGATGAGTATCTGGTATTCACACAAACGATGAAAAAGAGCTGGTTAGTCGTCAGATCAGTCAATATAGTACTAAGCTTTCAACTTGAACACTGGTTGTTTGAGACCTTTTGTAAACAAGAACCATCTATTACGGCAATAATTAACAAGAGGTCTTTTTTTACAATCCCTTACACTTCATCAAATCTAATTTTTTCTTTTTCAGAATGTTAGCCAATAAAGAGATGAATAGTTTTCTGACGAAAAAATTTACGGCTCGTGAAACTACAAACTTTTTAAAATCTTGGCTAAATGATCACAGACATAATCCATATCCAACAAAAAATGAAAAAGTAATGCTGGCATTGATTACCAAGATGAGTTTGACACAAATTTCCACATGGTTTGCAAATGCTAGAAGACGATTGAAGAAGGAGAATCAAATGACATGGACACCTAAAATACGTCATCATAGAATATCTACACATTCATTGAGCAGTAATAACAACATCAACAGTAATCAAAGTTGTCATAGACATGGTAATCATAATTATGATTCAGATAAAGTTAATAATAAAGTGTGTAATTACAAATCCACAATGCCTTCAGCTTTTCCAGTGAACCAACGACGTTCTACTAATCCATGTGAATTAAATAATGACAATACAAGACTCTTAAGCAGTCAACTGGTTCTAAATTACTTTCTACGTAAAGATGAACACTATTCACAATTTAGAGATAAGTTGAAAGGATTTTCGAATGTGTTTTCAACTAACTCTGACTTTCCTGACATCGCATCAGTGATGAGTGTTATATCCATTGGTGTAGGGGACAATAATGAAAATACACACAATAAGATTGATGACGCTGGTGATAACGAAACTATGATTGATGTCACTGACGATAGTAACAATAATGACGATCATATTTTACTGAATGACAGTAGTACTGTCAACGGGAAACCAAAGATTCATACTAATCAGCCAGACAATGGAAAAGTTCATCACTCTTCATTATCTTCTTCACCTTCATTTGAAAATACCTCTGGTAGAAAATCACAAATGAACATTAATTGTGGCATATCAAAAATATGGTCAGTTGCTGATGTTATTGACATGTGACTAAAAAAGCATACTAAAGACGAGCTGTGATATTGTAAACAATTTCTATCGTTGTATTATTATTTGCTTCATCCCAAAATACCTCTAATCCCTTGCTTTGTCATCTACTTACCGAAATGCATCAATTATATAATATTTTCCGTTCAGGTAATTGTTTTTGATAAACACTTGATTCTTTGAGTCACCTCTAAACAGGTAGTTCGAGAATTGAATATGTGTTTTACACTGTTGTTGGTTGGAAGGAAGGAGCTATACAATTACGGTTGTTCAGAAAGGAGTTCAACCGCTGGTCTCAGTGACCTAGTCAGTAACACATTGAGATTTGAAGTTGTGGGCACGAGGTTCGAGTCCCAGCTAGGATACTGTCATTCAGTGGTGTGCGGGTACATCCAGCTGACGAATCTCACTTGGTCTGGAAACTAATTCAACCAAAGGGAGTTAATATGAAACTAAAAGAAAAAGTCATATTACACTTTTAATTTTCCGGACAGTGCTGTGCTTTCAGATAAGTCGGTGTTTAACGGCAATGAATGATAGCCCATGGAAGATAAAGATCCTCGACAACAACTCTTAAGTTTTGAAGGGTCGTCTTATAAAAGATTAACCCCAGAATGACAAACTACACCTTACACAGTTCCAGTATTAGTGGTAACGTCCCACTAGTTCATAGTTGATTATGGATCTAATGTTTGGCTTCTCTCTCAAGCAAAGGTTCATTGATCTCTGTAATCACACATGTGTTTCATACGCACTGACAACATTAGTTATTAGTTATTTGCGGTGAAACAACGCAATATTGATACTGAAGGTTTAGTGTGAGTGCGTTACAGGAGGCGACTTTATTGTAAACCATATTGTTTTCATCTGTCTGAGTTCTTCATCTATGTGTAAACCGAATCATAGACTACAGAAATTCCCAGTATTTATGCACTAATTCAGTTCATTAGTGCACATATTTATTTTTCTAATATCATGATATATTTGTGGTCAGTCACTATTCATCACTCATTGTTCTTGTCTCAGCTATAGTCAGCAAATTGTTTCATAATTATCAGAATCTATTTAAAAATGAAAGTTAGTCTTCATAGTCCATTTTTATAAGTCAAGATGCAACTGAAAAATAGAGTGACTTTAAGTCTGACTTCAAAGGTTGCCATAGCAACTAGTGAAATGACTAGTCAAGTTTTGGTATTCCAGCCGTTTTTTATGGAATAAAGAAACGTAATTAGTTATCTCAGCAGTTGCTAAGGTCACTTTTTACGGGTGATTTTAAGGGTCGCCCTTGTAATAACTGAAATAGCCAATCAGACTTCTATATTTTGTGAAAACCTACCTTTCCGACAGAAATGAAGAAACCTAGTTGGTTATTTCGATCGTTGCTTCAATGGCCTTTGTATGCTCAAACTGAATTGCAACAGATGACCAAATATCAAGACAGTTAGTGTCTTCCGCTGATTCACTGAAGAAACTAGAGATTGGAAGCGTTTGGCCATTGTTTACTTAACCATTTGAAAGTTTCTGCCTTTCTAAGTTAATGCGAACTTTTTGTCAAGCCATTAAGAATAGATAATATGAAGTTTCAGTATATATACCTAGTGAAATGTGCCGGTTTTTGAGAGGTAATGTTTCTTCTCTTAGTCGTGTTCAAGGTAAACAAACGGTAAAATTTTAAGAAATGAATTACGAATTATTAGGTGTGATCTATTTTCCTCTACAGTTATTCAGCTTACCAAGTCAATATCAACATAGAAATTGACAGTACTGCGTAACAGTCGAGGATGTAACACACCTCACATCAGTACAGTAAGACATAAAGCAACAGGATGAAAGACAGAAAAACACTGAAAATAACGTTGTTAAAATCATAGAAAGCCATCGCTAGAGAGGGCAAAACAAATGGTGAAATATGACACGACGGTTAAGATGAATATCATGTGTGGATGCATCTATGTTAATATGACGGATTTCAAGCTATTTAACCAAGTATGTTTTTTTGGGAAGTAGACATGATTATACTGAGAAAATTCATATCGAGAAGGGTGAAGCTGTTAACTGAAAAGTTCAGCGGATGATTTTGTAATTACTAAGAGACCCGGCTTGCTGGACACTTGAATAGCTGACCGCTACATTGCGTAATACGTGTTACAGTCTCAAAGGGAACATCAGTTCCTTTGAGGTTCAAGGTACAGCATGTTTATGAGTGCCAGTATGCCAAAAACCTGGGTGCAGGGTCCTCTGCCGATTACCTTCAACCAACTAACATCCATCAAATTGCACCACTATGGTGAACCTCCCAGCTTGCTGACTGCATTTCAGAGTGATCGATAGGACTCGGTCAGGACTCAGAACTAGAAAGCATGAAATTTATTGCTTCCCAGTAACCAATTAGTGTGGGCATTCTGTTTCCTTTGGATTTAAAATGAATTGAAGGGTAAATAATTCTGAGATTGTAGTATAGTGCTGGGTAGGTTAACTATTCACCGGTCATCGGTCTTTAAACATACGAAAATTAACTCGGATCTTGTTTTAAAGGATATTTTATTGAATAAGTTTGATTTAATGATGGTTTGAACGTGTTTGGTATTCAAATTTGTGTATCACTTGAAACAAAGTATGCAGTTCACAAAATTGGTAAAATATAGTAAATTTAAGATGCTGTAAAGTTCAGTAAGCAAATCATGTCGCCATGAAATATATAGGATATATATATATATATATATATATATATATATATATATATATATATATATGAACCGCAGTAGTCGCTGGTTCGAACCCGGCCGCGGTTCAAATCTTCATCTCATCTTCAATCATCACCTAGTATAAATACTAATCTGTCAAACCACAGGTATCTCAGATAGTCAGGAATGATAATCAGTGTGATGTTTCTCCTTTCTATTTCAGTTAGATTTGGATTTGTATGAGCAGCTCAGACTAGGCAGCCAGTGTATGTACTATCAAGCGGTAGTAACGCATGACAAATTCACATGATAGTCAGGCAAAACTTTTGGTGACTGAAGTAAAATAGGAACTTGGTTAGCAGTCGGATCTCGTAGGTCAGTTGGTAGAGCATCGGGTTGAATACTTGGTGGTAGCCGGTACGAATGCGGCTGAAATTCAAATTTTCCTATTACTTTGAATCGTCACCCAGTCACAAAGATAGGATATTGTCAAATGATACATAAGCCGTATTACCTGCTACATTCAAAACATACCGAAGTGAACTAGTGGGTTGGTGTACAGAATAGTGTCCATTCACATAAGTTACACATAATTTTTACCCAGAAGAATGTGTCGCCACATAAACATCTTACCAAGAAGTTGCTTGTCGATGTGTGAAGGAACTTCCTGTTAATTACTACCTTCATGCAATGTGACAAATTTGTTTCAGTTTACTGAAATTGTCAATGAGTTTTGGTTTCTGTGAAATGTTCTTGATATCCTCCCACTTAAGGGTAAAGCTTTATCGAAACACAAATATCACTTTCCGGCATTCCTACTATTTTTCTGATCACTTCCGAACATATTTAATTTCTATTCAGAAAGGAAATATGCTAACAGACTGACTAAAAATCATTCCTATATTTCCAGATATATTCAGAGCTAATATTGGTAGGTTAAACTTTGGATTTGTTGTTGAAGGAATGAAATATTATTCCAGATATCTAAGCGATACCCTTATTATGTTGACTGACAAACATCTTATCGCTATGATACTTGTAATTTCCCGTTGCTATACAGGGCTGAATTTCTTGACGACTGTTGTCAGATAAGCTGTTATGCGGATGTCTCAATACTGCTGAACATTTATGATGTTATATTGATCTTGGTGACTAGCAAAGGAATCTAGGATGCACGTTTTGTTCTGTTTGTGACTCGTCATCTGGATGTACCTGCACTCCAGTGAGTGACATTGTTCCCACTGAGGCTTAAATGCGGTAGCCTTCGCTTCGAACGCCAGAGCATTATTCACTAAACCACTGGGGCAAACACTGAGATGTAGGTGCATCCAGCTGATGAGTCTCAAACAGAACGAAGCGTGCGTCGCGGATTCCTCTGCTAGTCATCAAGATCAAAATGACAAACATCATGTTTCACATTTATTATCAGTTTCAGTGATGATAAAACACGAAATTAATGATACTTTCTTCTTCTAAGACCTTACGATACAGCCTAATTAAGATGATACATTTCACAGTTTTATGCATCAGAAAAGTACCTGTATGGCACTATGCACCTTTCGTCCAGCTATCTATAGAGCATGTACTGGTCATATCATTACTATTTCCAATAAGAAGCGTATTCAAGCTGTAAGTTGGGAGAAAGCTGCTAAGAGTTGTAAATACCTTTGTGTATGATGATGGCAATATAATAAGGAATGACATAAGATGCATTTTGATTCAACTCAATTTTAAAAGTAGTGATATTATAAGGATAGTTCACAGAATGCGATGAAAAACGCTGATCAACAGGTTTTCTATGGGCTAAGTTGAGTTACCTTTTAAATAACGCTATTAGAAACCCCTTCAAAGTTCCATCGAAATACTTTTATGAATGTACATACACCAAACTAAAAACATCGATCAAGAAAAGAAAGATGAGTCTACTCTAGCTTTTTAGAACATACCATAAAAACTAAAAAATCGGGAGAAATCAGTAATTTTTGTATTTTATTCACTCGGAAACTAATTAATCCACGGGATACCCGAAATTAACCCAGGTTTGATGAAGTCATAATAGACAAACATTCGAAGCCAAATTTACGTCTTCAGAAAGAAGTGATTACCAGCATTATTTTGCCTTCCTAGTTCAGGGTTAAAGGGTTCCTCTTCAATAGTTATATAGATTTTAATCAACTGATTCTGCTTCATTGTAATCGAAAAAGAATCATTTCACAATCACCATTATCACTATTATCATATTCTGGATCCAATAGTCTACTTACGCAGTCCTTTTTTTAATCAGTTTAACAGAAGATGGAAGTCTGTGTCGCTTAAACTCCTGAAAATCCCACTACACTAAATCTGGT